ATTAAAGTAGTGCATTTAGTTGTATAATTTTTCATTTTCGAAAAATAATTGCGTTGAAATCATTTTTGACATGTTTAGAGGGTGATATTAATTTTAATCTAGCATGTTCCAGAAAGTTCATATTGTTATACGGGAATGTGTAATGGGATCTGAAAGCTTATTGCAATGTAAGTTTAGTTCTATTCATTTCTAGACTTGCATGTGGCTTTTCTTTGAACTTACCCTTTATAATCCTACAGGGAACTAAATCCCACTGGCAACATGATCCCAACGAGGAACAGGATCCTAAAGGGGAACGATTAAATGGAACCTACCGGTAACGTGATCTCATCGACTAACGGGATCAAATAAGACAAAATGGATCACATCGGAGAAGGGCATTCTCCCGGGAAAAAGAATCCCACCTTAAAACGGGATCCCGACAGAGAAGGGTTCGGAACACACGATGATCGGGACCCCACTGGTAGCGTGATACAACCGGGCAAGGATTCCACCTTGATCGGGACCCCACTGGTAGCGTGATACAACCGGGCAAGGATTCCACCTTGAACGGGACCCCACTGGTAGCGTGATACAACCGGGCAAGGATTCCACCTTGATCTGGACCCCACTGGTAGCGTGATACAACCGGGCAAGGATTCCACCTTGATCGGGACCCCACTGGTAGCGTGATACAACCGGGCTAAGGATTCCACCTTGATCAACCGGGGTAAGGATCCCACCTTGATCGGGACCCCACTGGTAGTGTGATACAACCGGGCAAGGATTCCACCTTGATCGGGACCCCACTGGTAGCGTGATACAACCGGGCTAAGGATTCCACCTTGATCGGGACCCCACTGGTAGCGTGATACAACCGGGCAAGGATTCCACCTTGATCGGGATCCCACCGGGATAGGGAAACTACAGGGATCAGAAACCCACCGGGATCGAAATACAAACTGGGTCAGGATTGCCCCGGATACCAAAATATAATGGATCCCGCCGGGAAACAGGATTCGAGTGTGTTCCAACCCGAAATCGTCATCCTATCGAGGAACAAACTGTTTACAAAATTAATTATTAATGGGTTTCAATAGGAGACTTTTTCTTCTTTTTTTAACTCAAGCGGACTTTTGTTTTAGATGGAGCTTAAATTTAATGTTAGGTGTAGATCAGTGTTTCCCAACTTTTTTTGTGCCACGCCACACGTAAGCATTTCTAAACTTCGTATGCCCCCCATGTATCAGATACATAAATTTTAATATTCCAAAAAATGGATGTTCACCTAAGAAACTTAAATGATATGTTTTAGGAAGAAATCACTAAGAAATTAGTGAGGAAACATAGTAAGTACATTTTCAAAACTTTTAATGGTGGACTGAAATTCAAGTACAAACTAATTTTAATGTAAGATTGTTCTATATTATTTTAATTATTAGTAATTATTTGTTATTATTCACATTTTCGGAGCCAATGAAACTTTTCAAAAGTTTTGCTGTTAATATTTTTCTGACATAATTCAATAAAGGTAATGAAACCAAATAAATTTCCTTTTGCATCGACAAGAGTTTTATGTGTTCCTTGAAGTTTGTTTTTTAATATTTTTAGTTTTTCAAAGATATCGGCTAAATAACTCACATAGTGTGCTTTTCCATCGACTGTTAACAGATACGGTATTTTAAAAATCGCAAGTGTAATAAATAGTTCCAAAATTCTTTTCAAGAAATTCCCCGTCGAAGGCCATCTTACTTCAGTGTGAGATAAAAGTCTTATATAGTCTGCATTTTGTTCTTCACAAAATAGCTTGAAGAGATGTTCAGATTTGGCATTAGCTTTAATTGCATGGACACACTTTGAAACAGTGTGCGAATGTCGGCGCTGCGTGGCTGGGTCCATTTTGACTCAGTGCCATTCGGATGTCATTTGTGGTAGTTTACTTTAGTTAAATTGAAGAATATGCTTACAAACATATAGTCCATTCAATTATCTTTCATTTGATACCTCATTTTGTCTTGAAAACCCAACAATAAAATTTTAAATAGTTTTTGTTTTAATCCCAAACTCTCACTTCTGGTACCCGGGTACGAATAGCCACTTCGTTATTTAAAATGGTATAGGCCCTACAGAGTTTGTGTGGTACATTTAGGGTTACGTTTTCACACTTTTTAGAGGAAAGAAAATGTTTATTTTGCACGAAAAGTGGTAGGGTAGGCCCAATATTTAACAATTTAAAACACATAACATTTAAAGTGTTTCTCTATCGTAGAAAGCAGCCTTCGTTGAACGCTTTCGGTGACAATAATGATTTAATATTACTGATCATTTAGATGTAATTTGGTAATTTAAGGTCATGTTTTTAGAAAAATAAAATTAATATGTAGCAAAAAAATACTTCTTAAAACTTTTAATGATGTCTAGAAACTTAAACAATCTTACATAGATTTTAGATTATGATAGGATCTAGCATAGATACTTCTTTTTCCAATTAGGATTTGTGGTGCTTTTTCACAATTGCAGGTAGAAATTACCGCAAAGTGCCTGCAATTATTATCTCGATAACATCGGGTGATATTTTCTAGTAATTAATATGGATATAATTTCACTATTTCTTTATTTTGAAATATGCAAACTTTTTTTTTCGAAGTGATTATTCACAGAGCTGTGCGGATAACGCTCGCCGTTATTCACAGATTTCGGTCTGCCGATAACGCTCGACATTATTCGCAGAATGTGATAAATTAAATTATGAATATAAAATACAAAGTTGATAAGTAAACATCTCTAAGGTAGTGTTGTGGTCAGTATCTCCGCCCGTCACCCAGCAGACATATGTTCGATTCCCCGTCGGGGAAGCCTCTTTTTTATAAATAAAATTTAAAAAAAAAAAAATTTAATGGTTATTTCGTAGCGTTATATTATAATAATATTCTTCATATAGCTCTCTTATTCTGTTCACATAGTTTTATTATTATTTTCATATAGTTTTGTTACTTATGTTACAAGTTTCAATCTATTTTGTTAGAATGTTCATTCAAGTTTCATAAAAAAACTGTAAACAACATGGACATGCAGATGAGCCGCATAAACCATGTATAAGTCAGGTACAGCTGTTCTAACTGTACATTGTGATATACTTTTAGCTCTTTTGACAGTTTAATTTTCTTTGTATAATTCCACTCATAGACTTTAACATCCCTTTGTTTTTTCTCTAATAAACACATACTTATTAATAACTTACTTATTCAAATATTTTAGATCTCAGAGTTGTGTATTAATGTTTAGCTGAAAAAATATGTCACGTTTTATTTGTTTCATTTTATATTCTAATAAGTATCATAATAAGTAGGGACACAATATGCCGCTCCAGAAATAGTTGAAATAACACTTAGTGATGACAATGAAATGAACATACCGGTACCGTACTTAAAACATATCAATATCATTGACATCAACAAGTTTAGCTCTTGTCAAAAAAATGTTGATAATTGAAACAAAAAGCCATACTGCCACTGTTGTAACTATGGACTGCCACTGTTGTAACAATGGACTGCCACTGTTGTAACTATGGACTGCCACTGTTGTAACTATGGACTGCCACTGTTGTAACTATGGACTGTCACTGTTGTAACTATGGGTCTAAATACAAAAAAAAAAAAGCATACAAAAATTAATTGGAACCCTGCTGGTCGTAGGATGCATTGCGAGTCTTTGGGAAGTAAAGTTCCCTTGGGGCAATTGAAGCAGCGTTTACAAGTTTGAGGGTATGGCCAGCGCAATAACCAGCCAGCTTTACTTTTCCCAGCTAAGGCCAGAGCTGGGTAGACTTAGGGACACCCTCAAGGATCAGGAAAAAATACTAGCCTTAAACAGGATTAGATTATGTTATTATCGATGTAGGGCCTATATGCCCCTCCCCGTCTCTCAGATGGCAGCCTGGTGGAGACACCTCTCTGCATCATAACACTGTTGCATGGCATGTCAACTATTTCTGTCAGAACATTTCTGGACTACGTGATATATCATAGTGCTTTAAAAAAAACTAAACGATATCCTATCAAGCTTTGACAGCATTTAAAGACATCTCTACAATGGTTGAAAGTGAGTCTACATGAAGAATACCGGTACCATTTTTATTACTGGTATAACATTTAATATGAAATACCAGAAAATTAGCTATGTCTAGGAGTAGGTGAGTAGGAGGTTTGACTGGATCTATTAGTAACACTCTATATGTCGAATATGTTGGCCCTTAACAGAGCAGATGTAGGCACAATTAATTGTCCTATATCCAATACCTATAGGCTATAGTTAGGCCTATTAAATTTTTAAAATTTAACTTGTGCATACTGGTAGCTTCGGTTTTGAGATGTGTTTGTGCCATTCTCATTAACGATCAATCTATCCTACACTACTTAAAACTACACCCCTACCCCGGCTTGGAATGTGATCTTAATTATTCCTAGAAATGTGCGTCATTATGGGAACATTTCTGTCTAACAATAACGCTCTGCATTATTCGCAGATTTTGGTCTGCCGATAACGCTCGGCGTTATTCACAGAGCTGTGTGGATAACGCTTCCCTTTTTTTTTTTTTTTTTAAATTATGATTAAGAATAGGGGTTAGGTTAGATTTTGTAGTGCATTAATTTAATCATTAAAAATCAGTCCATTATTATTATTATTGAGCCCCAACTTACATTACAATGTAATTACCAAATATTTTCTAATGACTACTGGCTAAAAAGTTATATTAATAGTTCGAAGTGGTTATGCGCAGCCGACTGCGTATAACCCTGAGAGTTATTCAATCAGTTAAACGAAATCTTCGTTTTAAATTTCATTAAGTAAGTCAGTTCATCTATATTCATATGGCCAATTACTATTTTAAGACGTTTCAAGAAATTTCACTTCCAAACTACAGAACTCTTTAAAATCCGCGATGTATCTGTTTCGAATTCCGAAATTAGATAGTAAACATCGAAATGTTACAATGACTAACTTATGTAGTTAAGTCAAAGTTCATAGGTTATAATGAAAATGTCTACTAAGGTCACACTAAGAACTAAATAAAATTCCTCACTGAGTGAGGTTGTATTTTTGAACTGCTTAATTAAAGGTAATATTTAAACTATTCAATACGTAATATATAATTATCTAAAATTTAATAAAGTCGTTCAAATGTGTTGTTTTTATGGGATATTCAGCTATTAACGAATGACACGGTCATGGTTCAGTCAAGTCCAAGTGATGTGTAAGTTACTGTAAGTGTAAGTGTGGGCCTACCTACAGCCTACAGCCTACCTAGGGACAAGTTCAAGTAGGGACTGGGCCTGACTGGGGACCTACAAGTCTTTACCTGCCTGCTCACTGCTACTAAACTAAAGTTACTAAAGTTTAACGTAATAACTTTAACTTAATACAAGTATAAGCCATAATGAGAAGTGGGTCTACTAATTTGTTACTTTTGTCATTTAAATCATCATAATTAGCCTACAACGAGCCTACATTGAATTTGAATGCTTGGTAGATTTGGAGAGATAACACCGCATTCTTTACCATCGCCGCCGTCTTGGTTGCCGCAAACTTTGTTGCCGCAAACTTTTACGTTTTCACAGGTCGCCGCAACCAAGATGGCGGCCGTGGAAAATTAAAATAACGCACGTTTGCTAAAATTAGGAAGAAAACGTTAAAAAGTTTTGAAAAAAATGTCCTAAATGTATCCCTTAACCTAACCTGAACCCTAAGGCCCCAATCGGAACCAAGGTTTTGACCCTATCGGAACCAGAGTTTTGACCCTATTGGAACCAGCGTTTTGAACCTATCAGAACCATAGTTTGGACGCTATCGCCTATCGGAACCAGAGTTTTGACCCTATCGGAACCAGGGTTTTGACCCTATCGGAACCAGGGTTTTGACCCTATGGGAACCAGTCTTTTGACCCTAAAAATGAGGAAAATGAAGAAAAACAACAAAAATGGCCAAATATAATTATAAAATAAATAAATAATGAAAACCAGAACTTACAGTTTCATGGAATACACTTTTACACACTTTATTTCAGGTTCCACCTAAAATAATATCCACAAAATGAATGAAATACCACGAGGTAATACTATAAAGCCAGTATAAAGATGGCGGAACACAAAAAAATATTATAATTGGCCAACCAATGAAATTTTAAAATTATAAAGTAATCAAATAATAAAAAAATTAATTAAAACATGTCATCGTCATATTAATGAAAATGTAAGTCTAGTAACAAAAAAATAAGGGAAGTGAATCCAAAACAGCAACTTAATAAAACACGCAAATGACGTAAAATTAGTTGAATATTTGATTTACGGAAAATTTTAGCCAACCACTACTACTAAATGTATTCACTATGCCACAGTGAATTCAGTATCATTCAGGCCAGTATCAACTGTAGTCTAACTTAGTAACTGAAAACATATTAAAAAATGGGCCACCTCCAGAGGAATGCAACCTACAACTGTAGCCATCAACTATGTTTAATTGATATACCGGGTAAGTATAAGTAAGTATAAATTTAAAGGCTGAATTATGGCACATGAAATTAGGGGCATTGCAAGGATAAATAGTGTCCATGTCAAGATCTAAAACTGTACCTTGAAAACAAGTTTTAAAATGTCTTTGTCCAGCTCTCCAAATTTGCATAGCCACTCCACTTTTGTTTTCAAGCTGACCCACATCACATTCTGTGTATGGTATTGCGCCACACCCTAGATAGGCATCTGCATAAAATAGTTGAGAACACCTCTACTTGCCTGGTAGTGGATCTTGAGGGGGTGGGGGGAATGGTGCGACTATAAATTTTTTAAGTTGATATTTTTAACCAATAATTTAAAAACTTAATTAATATCCCTATAGCCTATGCCTATAGATGATAGATGCTCTAGGCCAGCAGTCCTCAGAGTACTGCCTGCAGGCTAGATCCCTCTCCCCCCAGGGGTCCTTAACTTGGCCCACTCATCTCATTAGTCAAATGCACGCCCATACCCCACAATTAAATACTATTATTAAGTTTATGTTGATTGAGATATTATAGGAATTTTTTTATGTTTTAATTTTCAAACTATTTTTAGGACACTGAATGGGTCTTTGTTAAAGAGTTTGAGGACCCCTGCTTTAGGGGATATCTTTCCTAATCGACATGTGCATTTATAACATTTATATCCTGTGAATCATTTTTTGTTTCACTTGGGTCATTCGCTTTATCAATACTAAGCCCAATAGTAGGAATAAGCCTTATAGTTTTTGTTGCAACCTACATTTACTATATATACTTTAATATATTTTTTTATGCTAGTTTGTGTCTGCTTATTATTATGTCAACTGTGCAAGATCTACATTACAAAGGATAATGACATATGTCTTCAACTATTGTTTATATAATGTTCCTTAGGGGGAATTTTTTAGCTAACTGTAGTTGTATTTGGAATGTCAATAAAAGACCTGTGTTTTGAATAGTAAATTTATTTTGTCTAAAATTGATGCTCTGCATACACCGCTATCCATCAAATCAGCTCCACCCGCCACTACCTCACTGTTAGTGCAACAAAAGCCCTAGTCTATGCTCTTGTTCTCTCTCGTCTTGACTATTGCAACTCTCGTCTGTAAGGCTCACCAAAACACTTCTTAGAAAAATTACAAAAGGTTCAAAACTCAGCTGCTAGACTAGTTCTAAAGGCAAAACAACCTGATCACGTCACATCACTACTTTACTCACTTCATTGGCTCCCTGTACAAGCACGGATTGACTACAAACTCTCTGTTCTCTGCCACAACTTTTTCTCAAATTCCTCCCCTTCCTATCTTACTGAACTTCTTTCTGTCTATTCACCCCTACGACAGCTTCGCTCCTCCGCTGAAGCACTTATTCTTTCTGTCCCCAAGACTGGCACAAAAAAATATGATGAACAATCTTTCTCTTTCTGTGCCCCCAAACAATTGAATTCTCTCCCATTACACATCCCCAATATACTGACCATCACTGCCTTCAAAACTGCACTCAAAACACATCTTTTTAAACTCTACTATCCTGACTGATTCCCACCTCTAACCGAAAAATGATGACTCTGGGTGCTGTCCATGCCTTGACATGTAAATAGTTTTAAATATAAATTTGTTTTGTTTTATTTAATTAATGTATGCAATTTAATTTTTTAAGTTCATGATTATGTTTGCTAAATTGTGTGTACAGCACGGTGAGCCCAGCCCTAGGCTGGGTACCACGCTATATAAAACCACTTATAATAATAATAATACTGATGTAAATGTATTTTATTAGTGAGACAATCTGAGGCTTTCTTACGAGTCAAATTAATCTGATTATGTTTATTTTCACATCTACACCTAATCATTACTAACATTACTGAACTGAAAATGATATTTTTTATTTATTTCAGGCCATGGATTGGAAGGCTGTTATATGAAATTCATGATTTTTAAGCTAGTTAGCTGAATAGTCCCTGGCAGTTGTTGCTGGGGCTCCAAGAATAGGTATTTATTTATGTGTGGAAGTCTGTTCCCTTTTTAGTTTTCATGTCTACTTGTCAACCTCCTGCGCGTCTGCTAATAAACCTCTGGAGATATAATTAGTGAAATTAGTTTCACTGTATAAAATAAAATATATATAATCATTTAACAGAAAAATAAAGTGACTGGTAGATAGGCCTAAGATATTTATGTCAACAGAAATATAAAATAAAAACCACAAATATAAGTTGATTTCACAAATTTGTGTAAAGCAGAAAAATATATTTTTTTTATGCTAGTTTGTGTCTGCTTATTATTATGTCAACTGTACAAGAACTACATTATAAAGGATAATGACATAATATGTCTTCAATTATTGTTTATATAATATTCCTTAGGGGGAGCTCTTTAGCTAACTGTAGATATATTTGGATTGTCAATAAAAGGCCTGAGTGTTGAACAGTAAATTTATTTTGTCTAAAATTTATTATAAATCTGATTATTCATTTTTTAAAATTTTAATTCAGGAAATTCATAGCATAAATGCATTTTAAAATGAGACTACTCTTAAAGCTGTTATGTTTGGAGTTCAGGGTGTCAGATACTTCTAGATGGGAGTTTGAACTATAGTTATCTATATAATTTTAGATGTCCTACAACAGTGTTTCCCAAACTTTAAAGTTTGGTTGACACGTTTTGAAATGGCATCTTTTTATTCAACCATAAATAATCATGTTGTGCAGACCAACAACATAAGGCTCGTGGACCAGTGTTGCTCTGTGGACCACCATTTGAGAAACACTGTCCTACAATTTAGAGATGTATTATAATTCATAAATATTTATTTTTCTTAAATTATTATTGAAAAGAATTTATTATTCAAAAGTATATCACAATCTCTCCATCTTTTCTTTTTCCCCAATCACATTCAACCTGTCTAGAGGACAGCAGACGGAAAAGCATTGCAATGCACCTAGAGAGAAATGGGTCCAGATCGCAGTCTAGAACTAGAACTAGAACAGTCCAAGTTCGTACCCTTGGTGGGTCAAAGTTTACCAGTCCGCCCAACCCTGGCTAGGGAGGGTGAATTCCTTTGTGGTTGGGGTGCCGCATTCATCAACATATGTATAACTTTTCCAGTCAACAAAGCCATCTTCCGTCAACAGCTGCACGGCATATCAGGTGCACGGGCGGTCAATCAGCTGCAGAAGGATGGGCTGCGGTACTTGTATAGGGGATTACTGCCCCCTCTCTTGCAGAAAACTTCGTCCCTGTCCATGATGTTCGGTGGCTACTACTGGTCCCAAGATGTCCTCCACGAAAAATTTCCATCATTGAGCGTCTACAGTAACCACACAATCGCCGCTTTGACATCAGGGTCCCTAGAGGCTATGTTCACCCCATTTGAAAGGGTCCAAACATTGATGCAGACAGCCGCTTATCACAACAGATTCTCCAACACACTGGATGCATTCAAGCACCTCCGCAGCTATGGCCTGAGGGAGTACTATCGTGGCCTTAGTTTGATTCTACTCCGGAATGGCCCCAGCAATGTAGCTTTTTTCCTTGGTAGAGAATATCTGCAAACATGTGGACCAATTTTCACAACAGGTAGTGAAAAGGTATGTACTGGTATATAATAAAGAGTTAAAAAATTCAAGGTTTGTTTCACATAGGTCAGCAGACAGTGGAAATGTATGTTTTAGAAAGGCCTGCTGAATGTGAAAAGATATATTTTAAATAGACCAGAGACTTAGAAAAGGAATGTTTAAAATAGGTCAGCATGCAGGGAAAAGGGACAACATTTTCAGAGCTTAAAAATTGTGGGACTAGTTTTAAAACCTTTTGTGTTGCTCATGACTGAATGCAGTATTGATATAATCAGTTGCATGAAAGCTTCAAGGAAATTAAAAAATTGTTAACAGTATCTGACACCAAAAAGTTTTTTTCTCATATGTTACTTGTTTGTTTGCAGATGGTGAAAGACTTCCTGTGTGGTGCGTGCCTAGGGACAGTAATCAGCACTTGTTTTTATCCCCTCAATGTTATAAAAACACGAATGCAGTGCAAGCTCGGTGGCAGCTTTGACAGCATCTGGAGCACGTTCAAACTCCTGCTACATGAGCGAGACAGAAACATTCGAAGACTTTTCAAAGGTATCCATCTCAACTACATGCGTTCTTTTGTATCATGGGGGATAATCAATGCTTCCTTTGAGTTATTGATGCGGACATTTTTCAGTCAAACATCTGGCATCAGTTGAGGAATGTGTGACTTAGATTACCAAGATTTTTTCATCAGTGGAAAATGGTTGGCAACCAAATATTGTGCCTGTTTTAAATTAGGATCTGACTTGGGTGACGTGCAAAGTTAAGTTTTTTGACAATCAAAATAAGTGTCCATCAGCAAAGTTAAAATCTGTGTAAAAAGACATTTTTTTAGATGTTATTCACTAATAATTTTATTTTTTAACATCGCTTGGATTCTTGAAAATAATTTCTAGATGAAGTAATTAATTTTAAAAGTTGTCTGTCTTATTTATGGTTCCAAATAAAGTCATTGACATCTTCTTTCTTTGTTTACTCTTGTCCTCTAAAAATAAATACTTAAATAAATTAATGTTTTGTTGTTGACAAAGATAATTTTAACATTTCACCTGTAATCAGACCTGTAAATTTTTAATGTTGTATAAAAAAAATATTTTCTGACCTGTAACAGATTTTCTTACATTCATTACAACTTGAAACTGCTATAGTTTCATTCATTGTTGTCTCTTATTTATTTATTAATATGCTTCATTAGATTAAAAAAAATTTTTTTTTTTTTTTATTTCCAAAGAACTCATTGTATAATGAGAGAATTTCTTGTTTTTTTCTTTATTACCGTATTCAATATTTTTTTTTTAACCATATAACTAATTTATGTGATATGCAGTTGCAGATTGATCCTTACATCTCTCTGACCCTCCTTACTCAGTTATTCCCATATTGTTATTAAGTACTGTACTACTATACACTACAGGAAATAACAGACTTTAAATGATCTGGTTCTTAAACTACCTAAAGCTAAGGCCCTTACACATACACACAAAGGCCCTTACAGACACAGCCTTCATTTTTAAAAAAAAAATGAATCATAAGGAATGAAATTTTTAAATGAAATCTCTGTAGAATTATTGAATTCCTGGTGAATATTGCACAAAAAAAATCTCTTTGCGAAAAAAAATTTCTATGTGCTTTCTTAAACTTGAACATTTCAAATTATTATTAACAAAGCTTGAGTGATGGAAAATTTTTGTTTCATCTTTGAGTCCAATATTAACTCAAGTGTCGAAATGGTGAGTAATAATAGTCTGTGCTTTGCTGCATCGACTAGTACTGTTTGCGCTTCATTGGAAGCATCCTTCATTTTTTTTCCAAATTTAAAAAATACTATTGTTTTCGTTTGACTTATTACTAATTATTATACTCCTTACAAATAAATGTAATTTAGCAAATAAATTTTGTATAACGTTATTTAAATTTCACAATTATTCTATATTGACATAAGTAATGTACAGGTCATTTGATTAAATCCTCTATTCCTCCTTGATACACATAAGAATAAAATTACTTTGTCTGCCCATGTGCTGGCTTCCTTATTCCCCTGTCTGTCCATGTGCTGCCTTCCTTATTCCCCTGACTGTCCATATGTTGCCTTCCTTACTCCTCAAACTTTGATGTTGAAAGTTTTATGCAATATTGGAATAAGCTGTTTACTTGTGCATAAGTTCCATTTATTATATTTACAACTCTTACATATCTAATCTATTATGAGATTTACTTACAGACATACAAACTAGATTCTTTACTAACAACTATTGCCTCATACATAAAACTGTTTGCCCACAACAGAAAACCTCCAGGTAACCAATGGAAGAAAAGATTAAACCAAGGCATACATCATTTTTTCAGTTTAATCATTTTCCCGATAATCAATTATTTATCCATTAGCCACAATGAAATATAAATTAAATTTAAAAAAAAAAACTTTTGCATTTATGTTGGTTTTTGGGATTATTTTAAAATTGTTTATTTTTGTTGATGAATAGTACAACAGATTTCCTTTCAAGTTTTTATATGGAGACAGACAAAAAGATTGGGAATGAATGGAAATTTTACAGGGAATCCATGGCCTGTCACATAGTGGTCAATCAAATCTTGAGCCACAGGTTCAAAGGTCGTGAATATTATCCTTTGTAAACTTGCCCAGTTTAGGGAGCTGTTGGTTATATCAAATGTGTGATAAGTCTGATATCAGCCTTGAGTGTGTGGTGACTAAGATTTTTTAGATATATTTTCTTTAATGTGTATGACAACTATAGAATTGTGTGGTTTCTTGTCTTGGTTGAGTTTTAGAGGTGGGCTATCCATGTCTCTCTATGAGGCCATTATTTTGGAGAAGCTGGGCTTGGGTATCCATGTCTCTCTATGAGGCCATTATTTTGGAGAAGCTGGGCTTGGGTATCCATGTCTCTCTATGAGGCCATTATTTTGGAGAAGCTGGGCTTTGGTATCCATGTCTCTCTATGAGGCCATTATTTTGGAGAAGCTGGGCTTGGGTATCCATGAGGCCATTATTTTGGAGAATCTCTTTAAAAAAGTGAGGTATGGGGAGCAGTCAGGATATATTTTTGTTCTTCAAAACCAAAATATTTCAACCAGATCACTGATGAAATGCAAGCAATATTGAACAGACTTCTGCAAATTAATGGCCGGGTGTAACTGTTCATATCAATTGATTTACTGCTGTACGACCTAAGGTCACTGAGTGTGAGTGACGAGGTGCCACAGGGGATTAAATTTTAAAACTCTTGTTACAGGTAAAATTATAGCAACTTTTCTATTTTCTCACTAGTGTTGTTTTTTCTTCACTCTTCAAGCATTCTAAGAAATCTTTTTAAATAGCATTGTAGGGAACAGATACAATAGTAAAGACACATTTTGACCTGGTAAAGACAATGTCGACCTAGTAAAGACACATGTTGACCTGGTAAAGACAGGTGTTGACCAATCAAATCCACCTTAATTGTCCTTTTAAAATTTGAATGTAGTTTAAGCATGTTATAACTTAATTGTTTGAAAATTATGTATAATTTTTGAATGAGAAAACATACAAATGCAACCGTGTCTTATTAAAGAAACTGGTGAATATATTGGGTGTGTTCAATGTTTCACAATAATCCTCCTAATAGAATTATTATGACAGCAAAGACCTTGCACTTGATATGCATGATTGATTGGCAGAAGTGTGTTGTTTAATACTTGCTCTGATGAAGTGACCTCTATTGGAAATGATAAGCTACTGTTACATTGTTGATTGTTTCATTGTTCTATGACCTGACTTTTGTGCACCATCAGCAGAATAGTCATTATTCATAGATCACTGACTCTCACCTTAGTAGGCGCTGGCTTTTTGTGCCTGATGTTTAGATCTTGTAATTGTTGTAAAACGTCTTGAGTTAAATGTGCCTCTACACAAGTGAAATTTACATCTAAAATTTAATCTCTTGACCTGCAGTCTTCACATGTAAACCACTTGTAGCATTCACTAGCCTTTCTCCATGGGACACACTTTGTTGATGTCAACCCAAACCTGTTGCAATATGACACATGCCTGTTATTTAATTAATTTATTACTCAAGCATAGTAAACTTCATTGAAATAAATAATTCGTAATATATGTTAATTTAATATATTTATGTCATTACATAATGCACTGGTTGTATCATGCACTTTATGTAAAATGTTAAAGGTTTGCTGTGAAATGTGTACTTTATTGTGTACAAGTTAATTCTAACATTATCAATGTTATCTTATTTGCACATGTTATCCTTTTATTTAGTTCAGAAAAGATTATCTTATAATTGCAAATAAAGATGATTGGACCGCTGCTGGTAATAAAAGTCAATGAAGAATTGTGTGGATTGTTTTTACCATTTTTTTAAACATACCTTAGGAATATTGCTTGACATTTGTCTTAAAAAGAAAATCTAATTACTTTTCCAATTCAGATGATATGATTTATGATATAACAATGATTTATGATTTAACAATGACCTATGATGTAACAATGACTTATAATATAACAATAAGTTTGTTTAAAAGAAATGACAAAAACCAGATCAAGACACAGGCAGCATTGTTCAAGATTTTATTCCAAGCAGTAAAAATAGAAAATGACCTAACAGACCTTTTAAATGACCTAACAGACCTCTTGGAAATAAAAAAGCATAAAGTGGTTGGGTTTATTTATAATGTTTTTTTTGTTTTTTTGCACCAGCATTTTATTAATATCATATGACATATATTTATATAAAGTTATCATCTCATACAATATGCAATTATCATCATAATACAAGAATAACCAAATATTTCAATGGTATGTAAATACATCAGAAAATGAAAACAACAACAGACCGGCCATGAATAGCCTTACAATAAACCAACCAATTATGTCAGTAAATGCCTCATCAAAAGAAAACAACTGGATGAAACACTAACAAACCTGCCTCCACAAAATCAAACCTGTAGAAAAGAACACTATTCTCACATTTCCCAAATTGTTTAAATACAATTCAAAATAGATTGTTGAAGTTTCCCTGTTATGTAAAAATCTGTAAATAGGTCAACCACAAAAACAAATGTAGAAACAGTATATAGAAAGAAAAGCGGATTTGATTTCAGTATTTAAACCAAAAAAATGAATCAACATTTGTGATTATGGTAAAAACTTCACACACAAAATTTACTCGTTGCTTGTACAAGGCTTGGAACTCTTTGGATAAAACAAATAATCAAAATTCTTGTAATTAAGGAAAGAAATTAGCTATCTGGAGACACTTAGTTGAAAAAGAGATTTGACATAAACTGATTTTAAAAGAGACAAAAATATTAATTCCTCTTCTACTTTTCAAATATTTCTTCATTAACTTGACAAAATAGAACATTAAGAAATCATTTGGAATGGTGCAATATCAAATGCTATTCAAACAACCATTTGTCATGGTGTAATATCATATGCTATTCAAACAACCATTTGATGTGGTCCAATAACAGGACTATTCAAACAACCATTGGACATGGTCCAATGACATGCACTATTCAAACAACCATTGGACATGGTCCAATGACATGCACTATTCAAACAATCATTTGACATGGTCCAATGACACGCACTACTCAAACAAAGGATTGACATGAAAACTAGTAAAAATCTTTATCTAGCACTTCAAAAAAAGCTGTATATGAAAATTTTTCATTAATATTTGATAGGAAACAGTGAAGTTTCCATTTCGCCCTAGCTTCTACAGTTACGTGGCTTACTGGCCTAATCAGTCTTTTAATAGCCATGGCATCACTCATATCCACACAAGGTATTCACAGAATACTCCCAATAGATCAACAACTGAAGCAGATACTGCCCATCTATTTATAGCTCATTCATTAAACATCAGCTTTCACAAATTACGTGGACCCCTGAGATAAAACACTTGCTAACTCCATACCTCAAAACTAGAGCATTGGTAGAAAGAAACATGGGCTAGGGAAAAGTATCATGAAGGAATTCTTCCTAATCTGAGTTATAAATATTTAATTTTTGGTCATTTTGCTGTAGAGTCCAGACCAGATTTCTGTGCTTAAAGATGTATTGTAGGTTTTGTTGAGGCTGAAATTTATCAAATAATATAAATCCAACAAAACTGTAATCAGTAAATGTAAAATATATGTAACCCAGTCAACTGTTATGTAAACTATATGTGACCAACATATACCAATCAATCTTTATGTATGTAAACCATGGGTCCGATATGTACCAGTTAAAACGTATGCGTGTTAACTAAAGTGACCAACATGTACTGATCAACAGTTATGTTGACCACATTACACTTCTACAAAACTGATCAGCTAAGCTAACAGAGAAGAATGAAGACTACCGAGTGATATAACCAGCATTGGATGACAGCCCAACCCAGTGGTTCTCACACTTGTTTATCTTATGACACTAAGAGCAAATGACAAGTTATTCTGCAACACAGCATTCAATCAAGTATCCAATAATATAAGTTGTCTATTTCAATAGGAGAGCCGCATCCAAGCAAAATATCATTTGATTATATTAAATGGATTATATTAGATTATTTGGGATTGTATTACATTAAATGGATTGTATTAGATTAGATGGATAGCATAAAAGATATCAATTTGATTTGTAGGTGAAGATGTCTTTTAAAAATTTTACATCAGGTGGTTGAAAACGGCTGAGATGAAATAATTGAAAACATCCAAACATTGAAAGATTCATTGGAAAGCTTAGTCCCTACATAATAAAATTGTAATAAGAAAAATAATATTATCTTGCCGTGACATTGCCCCCAGTTATCTGCCGTGACATTGCCCCCAGTTATCTGCCTTGATATTGTACAAACATGAACTATGCAGTGGAAGGTGCTCTAACACAACAACCTTGTTATACCACCAACAAACAAAATAATAATTCTTTAAATTCTAACATTAAGTGTAGTAATGTAAATTCACAGCTTAGAAACCAATTATTTAAAACAATTCAATGAAAAATCTTATAATTGTCTAAAAATAAAAAATGATGTATGAGCGTCAACTTGTACAACAGTCTGAACTTGCACAACAGTCTGAACATGTACACCAGTTTAAATGCCTAAACCTGGTTGAAATGTTCAATAGTTATAAAAAAAAATGTTGACAATAATATTCAGACCACAAAGAACCTCCAATTGACATTGATCTCCAGCTTTATGAGTTCATCCAACAACATAACAAGATGCAGTCAAGGGATACAAATGCTAAGTCATACACATGCTAAGTCATGCCTGCTATGTCATACAATGGTAGTCATACAATGGTAAGTCATACAATGGTAAGTCATACAATGGTAAGTCATACAATTGGTAAGTCATACAAATGCTAAGTCATACAATGGTAATTCATACAAATGGTAAGTCATACAATGATAAATACCAAGGTTACTTTGCATGAAAGACGATGCTGAAGAGATAATCAAAATACAATTTCTATCATTTTATGTTTTTATCACATCAGTCCAATTGAAACTCTAGTCAAATAGGACAGCTATTAGAGCTCTCATCTGTTATAGGACATCTATTAGAGCTCTCATCTGTTATAGGACAGCTATTAGAGCTCTCATCTGTTATAGGACAGCTATTAGAGCTCTCATCTGTTATAGGACAGCTATTAGAGCTCTCATCTGTTATAGGACAGCTATTAGAGCTCTCATCTGTTATAGGACAGCTATTGGAGCTCTCATCTGTTATATACAGCTATTAGAGCTCTTATCTGTTATAGGAGAGCTATTAGAGCTCTCATCTGTTATAGGACAGCTATTAGAGCTCTCATCTGTTATAGGACAGCTATTAGAGCTCTCATCTGTTTGGAAACATGGAGAAAATTAACATGTCTTAGTAGAATCCAGCCAAAAATAAACTCATTAAATTTCCTCTGAGAATGGGCTTTTAAAAAAAAAATGAACAATAAATTATATTAAAGCTGAATGAGAGCTAAGATTTACACTTGTCATGAAATGATTATCAAAGGTAACAGAATAAATTGTTCTTGGTGAATGGAGTCACTTGTTCATTAGAATTACATAATAACTGAATTGTTCCTATAGGCGTTGGCATCATTGTAACACAAGTCCAAAAGATTACATAAAACATAACATGTACAAATCTTTCTCAAAATATACAGTGAAATGCCCCAAAAATGTAGTCATTGTTGACAATGCTCATTAGAAAATGATAAACACTCCCTGCTAGAATCCATACAGTTAGAAAATATTAAAAACACTCCCTAAATAGCTAAATTGTAAGAAAATAACAAATATTCCCTCCAGGAACAATTCAATAAATTCAATAAATAAAAACAAAGCTATAGTGCTAAGAGAAGACATATGGAATACAATGATAACATCATTAACTCTTCTTATTTATCTCTGTCCCTTGAGAAGCTATGTGATAGTATTCACATGATCACTTGAGCAACAGAAAACTATAGAAGAAATTCACTGACTTAGATGGGTTATTTCATCTACAACTTTACAAACAAGGGAGGTACATCGTCCCCCTCACTATTCAATGTTGGTTAACAAGCGATAAATATACCCAAACATGATTTACAAACACGATTCTTATAATTTTAATTTCATTCCTACTCATACAAAATTGATTAGGTTCCTTTCCCAAATGTTTTAAAACTACAATGAGCAACATCATCCAGTCTAAAAGTGGCCCACATTTAAGCATGCCTTACCCATCCAAGTCTAAAAGTAGCACACATTTAAGCTTGCCTTACTCACCCAAGTCTAAAAGTGGCACACATTTAAGCTTGGCTTACTCATCCAAGTCTAAAAGTGGCCCACATTAAAGCTTGGCTAACTCATCCAAGTCTAAAAGTGGCCCACTTACTCCTGAGTGGATGTAACCAGGGGATTATTAAAATTTTAGTCCAGGCAAAATCATTTTAAAGTCTATTTCTAAAGCAAGTTTTTAAAAATAAAAATAATTTGAGTGATGTTTTGCATTCTGTGAGACAACAAGGGAGTTATTGCAAGACTGTGGTACATTTGTTTAGAGTTAGAAAATTCTTAAGTCGTTTGTGCTCCAATTAGTGATGATGGTGTCACCCGGGCAGTAACTAGTGTGTTTAACCACTAAGGGCCCCCCCAACCTAAAGAATTCATCCCTGTCCAGACCATGGTACCCCCCCCCCCCAACCTGTGACATTACTAGCCATCACTTCAATAATTTATAATTTAATGTTTTCTACAAGATAGCAGCTGACTAACCCGGCAGTAACTAGTGTGTTTAACCACTAAGGGCCCCCCCAACCTAAAGAATTCATCCCTGTCCAGAC